CCCCAAAACCCCAAAACCCCAAAACCCCAATAGATCAATCTATTATAGAATCTGACAAAATAATAATATAATAATTAAGATAGATAATTTGGATAGCAAGCAATGTCTAATTTTCAAGAATTGCAAGCTGAGAAATCTAGTTGGAATCTAGCTTCTGATGAAAAGCTCTTTGAAAAGCTTAAATTCATGCAAGAAAATGTAGTAGGCAGTGCTCACTTGATTCACAACTCTATGAGTGAACTGTCTAGGGCCATTAATGCCGCACATACTACCTTGTATAATTCTATCAATGCTTTTAATGCAATAAACTTTAATAAGTTCATTGAGAATGTAAGTTTTATATTGATAGTAAGCCTTTTGATAGGTAGTTGAAGATGCTAGTGAATCACAAGGATAACCTTAAGAGGATCACGAACCGCCAGCAAGTATGTTTGGAGATGTGAGAGGTGAAGATGAAAAATTGGGATTTGCATTAGAGTTAGCATTCAATGAGTTATCTAAGGATAAATCTGAGGGAAAGGACGAGGAGCAGACCTTAGCAGAGACTTAAAATAAAGATATTAGAAAAAGAGGGTATTTAGGAACTCATGCGATGATCAAGCTTCCCTATGTGATTGGGACACCTGAATATAATAGGCATCCCTATGCAGGAATTGTTTACATGGGAAATCTAGGAGATGATTTAGAATAGGTTGATTTGCACAAGGAAGAGTAAGATTAGTTGGAGCAAGATAAGATGCAGGAGAAAGAAGCGCTATAAAAGAATGCTGATGAATAAGCTAAGCTAGAGGAAATGAGAATAGCACAATAAGCTTACTTTGATCAAATACAAATTAGCTAAAATGCTCCACCTGCTCCTCCAGGAATAAGAAATATTCCCCCACCACCTCCACCTCCTCCTAATATGAATATGGGATCCATTCCCCCACCTCCCGGAATGAAGCCTCCTCAAACTGGAATATTACCTCCTCCCAGTGGTCCTCCTCCACCCCCAGGAAATATGCTACCACCAGGTGGGATTCCTCCTCCATTAACACTACCACCTCCACCCTTTGGTATGACCCCTCTCCCAAGAGGCGGAATTCCTCCTCCACCAGGAATGGGGCCAGTTAAGACAGGTATTGTTCCCCCGCCACCTCCACTTCCAACAGCAAATATTTCCTTGAAAGCTCCTGACACTCAAGCAACTCAAGAGTCGTAGCCAGAATAGTAGAAAATTGATCCAAGTAAAAACAATAACTTTGCTCCTTCAATTTTCTCACTTATGGCAGGAAACCAACAAAAGTCAACTCCATAAATCCAATAAAATATACCTCCTCCAAATATGAACAACACTGTGCCACCGCCAAATATGATGCCACCACCGAACAACATTCCACCTCCTAATATGATGATACCACCTCCCAATATGATGATTCCACCACCTTAGTAGAATAGATAAACGGTTGAAGATGAAGATCCATATGGCTCTAAATCTTTGTTTAAGAGCGGTGGCGGTGGATGGAGAGAAGCTAGGAAAAAGAATGGAATATTTGGAGAGGAAGATGATGAACCTAGTTTCTAGCAAGAGTCAAATAACGTCCCTACTCAATAGAGATCTAAACCAATAGTCTCAAATGCTTTATTTGGAGAAACCAACCTAAAAGAAGATGACACTAAGGGTTAAACTAAGACTAAACTTAACAGTATCTTTGATTATGAAGATTCAGACGAAGAACAGAAGGCTACTATGACTTAGCAAATTGAATAAAATACAAATAAAAAACCAGCTTAGACTATGAAACAAGGTTTATTTAGAATAGAAGAGGATGATGATGAGGATAATCATCTTTCATTTCCTTCATAAAAGTAATAGCCATACTAAACCGCTGCTACATAGAAAAAGATGCCAGCATTCTTGGATGATGATGAAGATGATGATGCTGATTTTATACCAAAGATGAAACCACCTATTCTTAACTAATAGAAGTCTATGCCACCTCCACCTGTTACTTAACTGCAAAGTAATACTTTTACTCCCCCACCTCTCCCTGTGGTAAAGTAAAATAATATGCCACCACCTCTTCCTGTTTAGAAAAAGCAGACATTCTGGAATGATGAAGATGAAGACGACGAAGATGGTGGCTTTTTAGCAAAGAAATAGCCAGTTGTTAATAAATAATAGTCAATGCTTCCACCACCAAGTTAATAGAAATAAGCAAATAAATTGTTTAATGATGAGGAGGATGAAGAAGATGATACTTTTTTCAAGCCTAAACCATAGATGAAGGCGCCATAAGGTCAATAACAACTGCCACCTCCACCCATTATTAAACAAGAGCCAGTAGTTTAATAATAGCTTCCGCCTCCACCAATAATTCAATAGCAACCCATATAATAATTCTAACCTCCTTATTAGCAAAAGCCAAATTTATTCGATGATTCAATGAATCAATCTATGATTTCAGACAGTGGAAATAAACAAAGAAACCCTTCAATGCTTACTGGCTAGTAGTAAACTGCAAATGAAAGCAATTTGCAATATGATCATAATAAAGACAGGAGAACTACTGAGAATAACATTAAGAGTGATAACGATGATAGGCGCAGTTCTGCTATTTCCCAAGGAGGAACTTCTGTTAAAGATCTTGCAAAGAACATGAATTTCGGATTCTTGGGCATGAGTAGAGATCAAATGCTTTTAGAGAAAAAGAAGAAGGAAGAAGAGGAAATTCAGAGGAGAAGAGAGCAAGAGGAAAGAGAATATGAAGAGAGAGAAAGATAAAAGTAAGAAGATGAAATGATGAGACAATCTAGGACATAATCAATGATCAGTACTACAAATAAGCCGTATCAAAATCAGTAATAGACTAATGTAGCTGATGATAACTATGGGAACAATAACTACAATAATCAAGGCTATGATAACAACTATAATGATAACTATCAAGGATATGATAACAATTACAACAACCAAAATAACTATGACAATACTAACTATAATAACTATGACAATAATTATAATAATTAAGGCTATGACAATAACTACTACAATAATTAAGGGTATGACAATAATTACTATGGTGACAACAATAATAATAATTATTACAATGACGGCTAGTATAATGATACCAACTACAACAACAATTATGACTAGAATAACTATGGTAATGATAACTATGGGCAGCCTAGAAATTCAACTGGTAATAACTTTAACAGTAATTTCCCCAGATAATCTACGGGAAATACTTATCTACAAAATAGACAATCAAATGCTCCAAATAATAACAACATTCCTCCTCCAATAGTTAACAATAATGATAATTTGAAGAATCTTACATCAAATACTCACTTCGATCATGAAGAGCAATTCAGTAAGCCTGTTGTGCAGAAGAAACCTCCTTCAAAGTAGGTAGCATTCTTCGGTGATTCAGATGAGGATGATAAGAGCGATGCAACTTCATTCATTAAACCTCCAGTTCAGTAATAGCAGACTTACCAATAGCCCCCACCACCAATTCAATAGCAGAAAGTGGAGACTAATACATTTGGAAATTTCGCTCCCTCTAATCAGAACTTTGCTCCAGCCAAACAGTCAGTTCAAAAGAAAAAGAAGAAGATGTAAAGTAAATTCGGAGGTTCATCTGACGAAGACAATGAATCAAGTGATGATGACGATGATGATGACGCCCCACCAGTCAAGTAGCAACAAATTTAGCCACCTTAAATAAAGTAATAGCCTCCTCCACTTCCTTCATTCACAATGAAACAAGATGTGATGCCACCACCAATCTATCAACCACCTCCTCCCATAATCTAGCAACAGTAAAAGTAGTAATTCTAGCCTCCTCCACAATAAATGCAGCAGAAAAAGGCAGGAGGGTTTTTCAATGAGGAAGACGATGAAGATGAAGATGGCTTTAACTTCAGACCTCAAAGCAAGCCACTTCCAGTTATAGGTACCAAGTAAGCCGCTCCAATCTAGCAGTAGAAGCTTCCTGTACAAGATACAAACACTAAAGCTAAGTTTAGCAAACTCTTCGAGGATGAGGACGAGGATGATGACTATTGAAGCCTCATTAATCATCATGATTAAATGTTGCTACTCACAGATCTAAATTATTCCTCTTTTATCTTATCATAATAATCAATTTCGCTCAATGAATTATAGCACCTAGGGGTTTTGGGGTTTTGGGGTTTTGGGGTTTTGGGG